GGGCGTGGGGGGATGGGTTAGCCTGGTGATGGGTATTAAAGAGGGCACGTTCTGCATGGAGCACTGGGTGTTATACGCAAACAATGAATCACGGAACACTACGTCAAACACTAATGATGTGATGTATGGTGATTAACATAACATAAAAAAAAAAGAACTCCCTACTATTCTTATATTTTTATATGTGAACACACACACACACACCCAAAGTATTTATCTGTTTAATGTCTCTTCCACTATAATGTGAGCTCCACAAGGGCTAGAAATTTCATTTTCTTCTCAGAATTTAGAACCGTAGATGGATAGAGCAGGCACTCATATTTTAGAGTGAATGAATAAATGAATAATATGAAGAGATTGAATAAACAGAATGAGCAGAGATAGTGTCTGGGGAAACAAGTTTCTTGTATATCTTTAGCTACTAACTACATATCTTAATTCCTATATATACTAAAAAAAAAAACAAACCTGCAAGCACCCACACCTATACTCTAGAGAGGCAGCACTTCTTCATGAGATGTCAGAGGAATAAGACCAGCTTTTTAAAAAATTAATGAGCTCAGAGATTCTCTTAATACTGGAGATGTCACTGTCCTCACAGAGCCAGCTGAGGACGACGTGGAGCCCTTCCTGGCCAATCCCCCCCAGAGCTTGTCCAGCACTTCCTCTGCTCCAAGGCTACCAGGAACCTCTTCCTCCTATTCATGTTTTACCCAATAAAAGACGCTACTAGACTCTAAGTTTCTTAATGGCAGGATCTGTATCTTCTAACCCACCCAGTGAATATGAGTGCACAGAGGCACTAAAAAATTATTTACTGAATGAACTGTGTAGACTTCTTTCAGTCTTTAAACTTTCCTGACCATGTACTTCAGACTTCTTTGACAAAACAGGAAATAAAATCAATTACTTAAATAAACTAATAAGGTGAAGTAGGTAACAGGCCCTTTTTTGGTCTAAATTATTTCAACAATTTTTGCATTTTTTGCTTACTCTGTCAATGTATATCTAACCCAAAAACAGACTGCTCATCAACATAAAGTGGTGTGATTCATTACTCAAACAATAGTTGCATTAAAAAATAAACATAATATGGGGCACCTGAGCCACTCTGGAAAACTGTATGGAGGTTCCTCAAAAAGTTGAAAATAGAGCTACCATATGATCCAGCAATTGCACTACTGGGTATTTACCCCAAAGATA